ACCATTAGCTATTGTTTCTGAAATCTTCAGTATTAGTCTATGTGCCTAATTCCCATCCTCAAATACACAGTGTTATGCAAGCAAAATACATGATTTAAAATGAATTATGTGCAATTAATTAACTCCAATCATTATTACCAATGGACCAAGTACCACATAACTTTGTACCATCAATTAACATTAAGCATATATCAACAATATGAATTGCACAAAAATTAATCAACCAAAAATAGCAGAGAAGACATTTGAAAATACAAACAATAAGATTTTTCATTTTGTGGTACAGCAAGAAGATAATTTAAAATAAGAAAACATTAAGTTATAATAAAACTAGTCTGCAGTTGGAGAGAGACTTTTTAATTTGCCTAATGGGAATTTAGTAACTAAAACTTTTCAAGTTTTTGCAAAATCAACTTGGAAACTAATGTGATGTGGGAACTAAATAAGCATCAAATTATATATTGCTTCATAATAAGATTGTCTCAATTTTTTTTCAAATGGTCATGAGTAAATGTGCCCTAGTTTCCCAGTCACTGAACATCTTTCCCCATTCAGTCACGTAGTAAACAAGACTCAGCATTATCTTTAATTCCATATATAGTTGTTAAAAGCCCAGACCCTTGTGGGTTTGAATCTCTGCTCTACCACTTGCTGGTCATATGACCTTGGCAAGTCAATCCTGTATTCTTTAGTTTCTTTATCTATAAAATGGAGTTAATATTATTATACTTACCTCATTGAGTTCCTTTAAGAATTAACTCATTCTCTGCTATCTACCCTATCCTATGCAAATAGTCAAACTTCTCTACTCACCCTACTGTCATGTACAAAATCCCAAAGTTTTAACTTCACCATAGTTACCAGTCCCAGAACGTAACAGATCCTTTTTCTTTGCCTGTTCATCTTTGATATCCCTCCTCTGTCTCTGGAATGCCAACATGGTTTCCCCCAAGGAAATCTAATTTTTTGTTCTATTGGCAATTTTCTGGGATAAAAGATTAGAAGAAGTCTAGGCCTAAGTTTTAGCTTTGTATTTTTTTATTTTCTCAATTTTTTTACTTGCAAAATACCATATCATAACTATAAGATCAGCACTTGCAACATTTTAGTGAAAACCACTCTTAACATTATAATAATTACGGTCATAAAGTCTTTTCTCTTTCTTAAAGCTTAGGAATACATTGAGCAAAATGAGGAAAGTGGGAGATGATTGCCATTGATAGAATTACATTATAGGATAGCTTTGTGTTAGGTGCTTTATTTATATTACCTTCGGATTTGAGCCCATAATATTTTATGAAGTAAGGAATCCAGGCCTCTACATGATTCTACTGACCATCTATTGACTTCAACATGCCACAGGTGAGGTAGCTACTGTAGACAAGAGGCTAGTCCCTTCAGTTCAAGTAATTCCTGGATGAGAGACAAGAGCACTCATGGCATCTAGAGAAATAAGTACCTCGATCCTTTAAGAGGTGATCCACTGAATAAGTGATTAAACCTAACCTTTGCTGCTAAGGTTGCCAGATAGAGTGATTAGAAAATCACAAAGAAAAAGATTATATGCCAGAGCTATGCTAAAGTTGTTCATTGCTGATCTAAAATTCAAATTTAACTGAGCACTGTGGTTTTATCAAACACTCTCCACTACATATATATTGAAGACCAAGCAGAAGGAATCTCAAGGGTATTGATGTGTTTCTCCTTTGGTAATATCACTGTTCAGACAGTGCTAATCTTCATAGATGGGGGAGACCAAAAATAAAAATCATTTAAACCCAACAATTGTTGCTCTTACTCAGAATCCTGAGGTGGTCTATTTACAGGGGTTCAATGTTCACATTACATTTTACTATAGGAAATGGAAGAATGCTTAGAAAGAGCACTCTAGTAATACTAAGGATGGTGGACTATGGGAAAAATGTGCACACATTTTTAATGCTGGAAAAAATGAGAGCAGCAGCAGAGGGAATCAGAAGAAAAAGACTAGAAGAGACACTACTGAGAGAAAGGCAAAGAATTTACTGACAGCATGATATAAAAAATAAAAGGTGAACATAATCTAGTAAAATTCTAAGCTCTTGAATTTAGGTAATAGAGGAAGAGAACGAAAACTGACACAAGATATATGTAAACAAATGAAGAAATAGTTTGGTGGGGGAAATGATACTTTTGACAAATCATCAGAATATATAATATATGTGAATACATTATTATATTATAGCAAGCTGTTGCTCACACTGGCCAGGTGATCATTTTCCATTAAATCATTGCACCTGAAACTTTATAGATATTTTTAACTATATGGCATTTTGACAAGCTGTACTCAGAATGTTAAATTATACCAGTAATTTTATTAGCTAAGTTTATACACCTAAGCCGTGAGAAACATTAATGTTCAAATTTAACATCTTAATTGAAAGATGAGTTTATAAAATGTGCTTGTCTTCAATAGCAATTCCCAACTCTATTTCACTTAAAATAAATACCTGTTGGTATCTTTTATCTACATTATTAAAGAACCTCTTAAAAAGTAAAGCTCTGGTCTTTTCCTTTAATTATACAGAAGGAGAAACTTCTACCATTATTACCTACATAATACTATCATTCTTCATTTATTCATCTTATATTATGCTGCTTATTGATTTTCCCTGAACCATGATATCCATCCCATTGCTCCTGCATTATATTCTGATTCAAAGTAATCAGTCGGGCCTCCCCGGTGGCGCAGCGGTTGAGTGCTGGGTTACGAAGCTGCGCGCAGCCTCTGCAGCGCTGGTTCGATCCCCTGCTGCTCCCCGGCCACCGGAGGAGGGTCCCACATGGTGCGCAGATCTCTCCTGCCGCCCGCTGCTCCCCTCAGCAGTGTACTTCGGTCCTTCTGCCTGCCCTGCTCCCTGCTCTGGCTCTGGTGAATTCTCTCACCCTCCCGTGCTTCTGACTGTACCCAGTGCATGTATAAACAAAACAAACAAACAAATAAATAAATAAAGCATGCCTCTAAAAAAAATAAATAAATAAATAAAAATAAACAAAGTAATCAGTCTGGAACCACTAACAGATACAGTAATTTTTTGTGTGCATCTCAGTAGAATCCTCTGCCTAGTATGATCTGGAAGCATAACAAATATTTAAAAATTCAATTTTTTCTGTTTACTTTCAAAATTCTGAAATATAATACATTTTATGATGTTACTTTCAATATTAATTTTAATGACTAATGACTATCATAATTATTTACTTCTGGAATTAAAATACCAACTATAGACATCAGTAAACAGAACAAAATTTGACCCATCCATTTGTGCTTTGCCAGTCAGAATCTCTATTATTACATATTGTTATAATGTCAACTAAATTTCCTAACTATTCCCAGTAAAAAGAAAACATATGTGATATATGTTGATATAATAATTAATTAAAATGACCATATCAAATATTATTTTTATACTATGCATATTCACCCAGAGATCACTCCTTTAAATTAATATTTTACTTAAAATACCTTATAATTATGGTGACATACAGTAATTATATCCACATTATAACTGTTAACATCTAGTTATCCATATGTGGGTTACAATCTTCAAACCCAAAATGGCTTCTCCTTGGAACAAGTATATTTTTAGGCTAACTTTTTGCCTTATTGGGTTTTCTTGTATGTGTATAATGATCTTGGTATCTCCCCTACCAAGTAAGCACATATGCGCTCAGTGAATACAAGCATAGCTTATGTCATGGCATGTCATAAGTAGGAGTAAATATGCTTCTGGAGAAAAAAAGTTATATGATGATATTTCAAATGCAAAGAGATACTAGTTTTATATTATCCATTATAGTTTTGATTTTTAGGTTTTTGCTCTCTTCAATTTGTGTAATGAATATGGATAGCACAGCAAATCACCCCATAAGTATACTCTTCCTGGATCTGGGTATTTATATATCAAGCAAAATGTCAGACACTGAGGGTGGCTGAAAGATGTTTCTAAATATTCTATTTACCCTCCTGTTATTTAATTGCTATAGCTCAAGATCCAAGAAAAATAAATTTAAGTGTAATTTAAGAGGCTTCATTATAATTCTTAAAAACAATAAACCCTTACTTCTCACAGTAGATTATCAGCAGCTATCTCTGATTAATTTTGCATAAGATCACCTAGAGTTTTCATTTTTCAACAGAGATGAAAAACATTGTATGTTGTATCTCACTAGTAATAGTTACTGGTTAAAAATAAAAATAAACTAGTGGTATGTATATATTAAATTATTTATGTAACTCTTATACCAAGTACTGCTCTTAAGTATTTCTTCTTTAATTTTCATTTTAAAAAACACCTTTAGGAAATACAGCCATGTGATCCTTCATCTAACAATTGAAAAAACTGAGATGTAGGGAAGCTAACTAATGGCTGAAGATTCCGTAACAAAGTGCAAAACTGATATTCGAACCCAGCACAGTCTGGTTTCAGAACCAGCACACTTACCTATTTGACCATACTACCTCCCTATTGAATGATTTGACCTTCTTTCTATTGAAGAGAACACACAAATGGTGCCTTCCTTTCTCTCATATATATTTAGGTAAAACTAGAATACCAATTGTCCTTAACATTTTAGTATCAGTCTACTCTGACAACACAGGCTGAGTAAGATGACTTTCCTTTCCTGTTCTCCCTCATATAGCACCTAATATGCCAGTTTGTCATTATCTTTTTCTTTTTATCCCCCAAATGATTTTAAAAATCATTGAAAGGCAACATAGTACCTAGAAAATAGCAGAGGCTCAATCAATGTCTGTTGGATGAATGAATGCTTCTAAGATTGATAGTCTGCCTATCGGCCTTCCAGACCACACTAAAACAATCAAATCCATCTCCCCCACTACCATTATCTGATATCAACTTTTTCATTTCTACACATTGCAACAGAATTCTCATTTCCCTGTTAAACATTTTAGGAAACCATATGAGTGGTTATCTCAAGGTAAAAAAGAATCTTACCTTCTAAATCTTCTTTCTCAAAATGTGTTTTGAGAATAGAGCGAGTTCCACCTCTATCCACAACTGCCTCTTCATCATTTCTCTGTAGAAAGGCGAGAAAGAAGATTGAATGATGGTACATATATTCTCTTAATTTCAGAATATAAACTTTATCATCTCATATTTTAAGGATTTAATCCAGTCACTTAAACATACATACATGAATGTGCTTGTTGACAAGCAAGTGTTAGTTCAGTAAGAGGGAAAATAAAATTAATTTGTCCAGATAGTGAAAGGAATGTCATTTGATTTTCATGAAATTAAAGGCAATCAAACATTTCAGTTGGTATCACTTGTTAGTGAGATGAAAAATACAAAATAAACAGCTATCCTGTCAATTTAGTAATATGCATTTATCCCTGATAATTCTTGTTAACAAGTTGACATTTTGAACCATACAAGGAAAATATGAAAATTATTAGTATTAACACTACTAATGCCACAGAAGGGTGAAAAAATTCCACTGCCATTAAAAATGGGGTTGGGAGATCTAATCTCTTGAAAGCAATTAGTAGCAATTAGGTAAACTATAATTCTAATTACTTTGTTTCAGTACAATGCATTTTATTCAAATTAAACTATAATTACAGTCATGTGCATTAAACTTTCATTCAGTTTCCATATATATTTTTACCCTTTTAGAATGACTGGAGAGAAGTTCTGACCTCTGAACACTGTACACATGCTCAAACAATACACTGACCCATTTGGTATTCAATAAAATAATGAGGATGAGATGATCCATTTTGGCCATACAGGAATAGATAAAATATTCAAATGAAATGCAAATTATTTCTAACTTATCTGGATATCCACACATACATTAAATTGTTTTAAAAGTTATTGAGCAACATAAAAGGAGAAATGAAAGATGAATGAATTTTCCAAGATGTATTTCTAAATCTATTCTTATATGTCTATTGGGAAAATAAAAGATGTTTCTCTGTTGAAATCTTTTTTAATTCCTGAACATAACATTGATAAATATGTGACCTCTATCTTTTACAAATCAGTACTTCTTTCAGCTGTAGGATTATAGACATATTTCAACCTAGAATGATCAACTTGCATGTGCATCACATGAACGAAATATACAGTAGGAAAATGGATTTTGTAGCCTATAGTTCTGTGTCTTTCTGACAACATGTGCTGAGACAGGTGAGGGCAAAGTATGAAATCAGAGTTAAAGAAATTTACACTATGAATGAGAAAAAATAAGGGAAAACAAATGAAAATTAAGAATGGATTCAGAACCCATTACTCCTGTTTGACAAGTTTTAAATATCTGTTGGTTTGAGTGATAATATCAATAGCATAAACTAAAGATGGGAATAACATAATTTTCTTGAAATAGACAATTACAAGTTTCAGCCTATTTAAAATCTGTTCTTGATACATTCAAAAATCAAAGGGATGCTCTAAGCAGGATATATTCAAATATATATCACATTGGAATGCATCTCTGCCCTCTAGGGTGCTAATTGGAAGAATGCCAAAAGCTAAGTCATGTAACCATTTCAAAAGGTCAGAAGGAGCACTATTCCACTATATTATACAATGACTGTCCCTTAAAACTACTATAAATTGGAAAACTTTATATAGGATATAAAATATTTCCCCTATACAATATTTAATTTTAATTTCAAGGAACTGAATCAATTTTCAACTTATAGACATATAAAAGATAATTCTATTGAACAATGTCAAAATATTGAGATAAAATGAAATTTTGCACAAAAATGGAATCTAAAAAAGGAAGAGTTGATTTAATTCCCATATAAGTCACAAGTAGAAGTGACCTATTTTTCAACATTTCTTTGGAAGAAAAAAAGAACTAGAACTAGAAACTAGAATATTAATGCAGTTCAATGTAAGTGACTCTCTTTGAAGTTTAATAGACAATATCCTCTTTAAATCCTCCCCAGATGTTCTATAAAAACATTAAATGCATGATCTTAAAGACTGAAAATTTCCAATATACAAATTAATACTAATACATATAGTGGCATTCTTTTGCTTTGGTTATAGTTCAATAGATCATTTCAATATTATTCAAGATTTTAATAGAGTACTTTCCTTCCCCCCATTACCAAAAGCAAGCGAACATGGGATGTGATTAAGGGACTGCAGAGGGATATGTGACACTGGGTACCATTCCAAGTGGTAATCCCAAGCCAGTAAGATAAACACTAATTTCACTTTGTTATATTACTTTCATTAGATTTGCTCAATATCAAATATGTTAAGGCACCCTACTTTCCACACATATTACTCACTTAGGAACTAACTTTAGCACTGTGTAGGAAGATTAAAAAATATATTGGCTTCCCACTCAATAGAATTTATCCTTGCTATACAATTGAACAAACATTTAAAAGATGATTGATTCTGGTAAATGGCAGAAGACAATTAAAAAATTGGGGGGGACCTCCCTGGTGGCACAGTGGGTTGCGCACAGCGCTGTAAAGCTGTCCAGAGACTGCAGCATGAGTTCAAGTCTCGCTGGTCAGGGAGATGCCCACATGGCACGGCAGACCTTTCCTGCCTCACCTGCTGCTCCCCTCAGCAGTGTATTTCTGTCATTCTGCCTGTTCCGTTCCCCGCTCTGTCTCTGGTGAATTCTCTCACCCTCCACACCTCTGGCCTGTACCCCAGTTCTTGTATAAATAAATAAATCTTTTAAAAAAATCTTTTTTGGCAAGACCCATATTCATGTATGAGTAGTCAAAACAAAAGTTTCACAAACCAATATTTACCCTTATCATGAACAATGTACTGATACTTTCCATTCTAAGCTATTTCATTTTTAGTTTATTTGTTTGAATCCTTTAACTATGTTGTTGAAGTAACATTGCTTTATATTATATATTACAGGTGCCCATAATCATAAATCAATATGTGTATACTACATTAAGTTCACCACTGAAAGTACAATTCTGTCCACCAACTTTTTCATCTTATACCTTTCCCCATGCCTTCTGGTAATCAGTAGTTGATCAAAAGGTTTAATTTTCTTTCATCTAGTTTATTTGTTTTGTTTATGTACCACACATGAGTGAAATCATGTAGTGTTTGTCACTAATCATTATTCATTAAATATTTTTCATGACTGAAAAATGGGCTGTCACTTGCAATTTTGAAAGCACTGGAATAGACGGTGACTCTGTAACAATAACTAAGAAATTATATAACTAAGAATAACTAAGAAATTCACAAAGAAATTACATCTTAAGCCCATTTACATAAACCTCTAAACAAATGAATAACCTTTAATTGATTACTTTTCAAACCAATATTTTATTTTTTTAAGTTTCTGTCATGTTAAGTTTAGGGATATACTGTACTCGCATAAGTCATAAATCTTTTGAACAACTATGACTTTCTCTTCCTTCCACCCATTTTTCCTTCCTTCCACCCATTTTTCCTTCCTTCCATCAAGAGAGTAATGGTTTCCTCTTCCCAGCACCACTGAAGTACATATCTTTCATGTTTTTCAAGAAAGAATACTATTATCTAAGATCCTCTCCATTTAAATCCTGCTTATAAGTAAATTGAATTTGTATTCAGTTAAAGACTAATTTCATGTGATTTGCATGACCCAAATGTAGTCTATGATTTTCTACAATTTGATTACTTCTAAACACCAAGACATTTATGCTTTGGGTTCAAATGTATGTAAACATTTAAATTGGTATGTACATATAAATTGGAATCATATATACCTCCAAATAAAGTTTTCAAAGGGAAGAGTTTTTCTGTCATTAGAACAGAACTTTCTAACTCAATGTTCACATTTAAACCTCACTTTGAACCAACATACTTTCTCATGAAAGAGCAACTATGAGCACTAGCACAAATGTTTTAAAATATTCAGATAAAAATGTTAACAATTTCTTCTACACTTGTTCATGAATGTCATCAAGCTCACCATGAATATGTAAAAATGCATTATTGTGATTTACCATAACTTTTATACAGTCTTCAATTAAATAACTTTTTCTAGTTTTATAAACCAAAACCTAACAGTAAACCAATGGACAAAAAAACCCTTTTTTTTTATATCCTTTTGATAATTCTCATCTCATATGGGAATGGATTAATGAAAGGGAAAGTAGTTCCCTTTCAGTTTAGAATTCTTTTTCCCCTACAACTATTTAACAGATCTTTTTTTTTAAAGGTAACTTTTTCTTAGATATTAGGATGGTACGCTGTGTTGCATAGTCTCAATTAGTCATGCCAAATTCACTTTCTACTCATTCTACCATGCTCTATGTCTTTATGGACTATAGCAGACAAGTTCCCCTTCCTTCTAGCTTCTGACTGAGTTTAGCCAAAGAGAGATGACAGGGCTGAGAAGAGAAAGACACCAATCCAGTTGTGCCATAATTTGACCATAGTGGCCTTTCTCTATCAAGGACCAAAACTCTTGTCATCTAACCCTTTCACAGCCACAGATCTTGTCAGGTTTTTTTTTTTTTTTAAAGATTTATTTATTTATTTATACAAGCACTGGGTTCAGTCAGAAGCGTGGGAGGGTGAGAGAATTCACCAGAGCCAGAGCGGGGAACAGAGCAGGCAAACCGACAGAATACACTGCTGAGGGGAGCAGCAGGCACAGCAGGAGAGGTCTGCCACGCCATGTGGGACCTTCACTGGTGGCCGGCCGGGGATCGAACTGGCGCTGCAGGGGTTACGGGCAGCTTCGCAGCCCAGCGCTAGACTGCTGCACCACCAGGGGAGGCCCAGATCTTGTCAGTTTTAATTAACTGCTCCCACAGCCCTCTCCTTTAGGCCAAAGAGTAGTGACAGTTTCTAATTATTACAGGTTCCTGGAACTTTACTAACCCTACTTGATTTCCCTTTACACTGACTGTAACTTTAAAAATGATTCATTCATTAAACTCTTTTTTGCATCACTTTTGAGTGACCATTTGTTTCCTGCTATGATACTGACATAAACATATGAACAACAATTGTTTTGGTGATTAAAAATCCATGACATGGGCCTCCCTGGTGGCACAGCGGTTGAGCGCTGGGTTGCGA